AACATCCCATTGCCATACTTCAAGTAAAAACATCCAGATTCCTGAACGAAAGGCATATTTATATAGTCCATTATAAAGAACAAGAAATAAAACTACTCAAAGCACTGAGTGACCAGTATTCCGTCAATGATAGACCTTAACTGCAGCACATTTGCCTTATCTCTGTTTGCATTAAACCTAGAGTACCAACTTTTCTAACTTCTAGTCATAAAGCCAGACCACGTGACCTTGGCTATACTCTATGAATAATGTCAAAAGTATTGTTACCGTTGTTACCCTGTGTATCTGGAACAAATTTCATATCTAACGCAAGGCAGATACTTCAAAGACTGTAAAGATACTTTCTTTCTCCCTGCAAGCAATTTATCAGCATTCTTCCCAGGGAATTAATAGACTCCAGGGGATTCCAGATGTCTTTGAATGGTCATGCTGCTTTTCCACTGAACTGTTCTGCCTATGGTTAGGGAACTACTATGACAACCTGTTCTCCAGACATTGACCATCTGGCACTTTAGATGGCCCCAAGACTCACACAGTCTCACAAATTTCCAAATTGCCTTAACTAATGAAGTAGCATGGGAGGAGGTCTTGGAAAGCTTGCTCTGAGTCATTCTAGTAGAGCATGTAAACATTACCATTCTTATGCCATCAATTTTTCTTTCTCTTTGCTATGGCATCAGCAAAATTTCCTTTGTGGGAACAATTTAGCTTAGGGACCAGTCTGCTGAATTTGTCTTGCCTTAATTCCATCAGCCTGGGAGGCTTTTTCACTGAGAAGAACCTGTCTTCCTAGCAAAGTAAATGAAAAGTAGAATCAAGGCTAGATGGTGTAAGGGCATATCAGGCCAAGAGGTGGATTTTCATTTAATTTTGCTAACTAAGGTCTTAAGTCTGTAGCTGGAACTGAGTATTTTACTGTTGCCTTTGGAGAATGGAAGATCTTTGAAGGAGAGTGTAAATGCTTATAAGAAGTTAGGTGCCCTTCAAGAGTAAGGCTGACTTTGCTGTTGCCTGCTTTAGATGCCCACTTTTGGCATCAGGACATCTAAAACGAGTGTGTCAGTGCTACCAGGATGAGTCAGAACACTCACCCTCCTTCTGCAGTCAATAGAGAGATGAGTATTTGTTTCTTAAAGTGTTGCTTACCATGCTGAATGGGAAGCTGTCTAGAGCTAGCCAAAAGAAATGCTAATTATGAGAGGGACTCTGAATCACTGCTTGTAAGGAGCCCCTGAGTCAGATCTGCACTTCAGGCACCTCTGTCCATTGCTGTCCCTTTAATCCTGAGTGATGAGTCCTTGACTAAAACGAATTTGCATCTGTACCTTGTTTGCAAAGGAACCTCATGTTATACCATTCAGCCAAAGAGGCTGTCCAAGGTGTGCCCTCTGCGTCAATGTGCAAGATTCAAGCCCACAATTCCCACTTGTCCAGAGAGGCCACGCTACAGATAGAGGAAGTTATTCAAAGACAAAAGTGAATAGACAAAAGGCATCCTAGGTCAACTAAACACACATCTGCTTTCCACTGACCACATTGGTTAGGTGTAAACTGACTATAACAGTAGCTTGGACTCTAAGTGAAATGTAAACATTTTACATACAGACACACTAACTGGACCTGAATTCCATCTTTATGGCTCAACTCAGTGGCCTAAACCTAGGTGTCTATACATATATATAACGTATGATCTTTAGAAGACTTGGGCCAGTCATTTGATACCAGAAATCTGTCTAATCAGCTAGATTGAATTATTCTACTCCAACTTCCCAGTTTTAGGAAAGGCTATTGAAGAGAATGTGCGAGGACTGCCTAGTCTGGTTTTCATCCTATTCTATTGTCTACCAGCAGTGTCTAAGGATGAGAGACTCCCAGTTGCTGCAGCTGACACCCTCTCCCTGAAAATATGTAAATCTTGTTCCATTAATAGGTAATTCTCTAGTGCTTAGTACCAATTCCCAGATGAAACAGAGCTCCACAGAGAGGGGGCCTGTAAAGGCTTATATTACAAAGTAGGTTTGTGCACATAGTTCACTGATTTTGGGGCTATTTCAACCTTAAATTATTGAGACTGATTTTACTGATTCTGTTACCTGCTTTAGATATCATTGATTACAGCATTTACTTGCTGGGTCTATTAAGTATAGGAAACTCCACAGAAAAACAGAACCTTTTATGAAGAAGTCCTCTGTGTCTGCCTTAGGAATTTGGTTTTCTCTCTGTCCCTGTACACTGGTACCTCATCTCCTTCTTCCACAGGTATCTGCTTTTGGCCTGCTCTCCTCCTAAACCTTCTTTGCACCACGAAGTTACACACTTGAGAAGATGGCATAGTATGTTGTTGCAATACCTTCTTTTCTGAAGGTCCTGTGGGTACCTGGGTTCCTGTGAGAGAATCAGTCTTGCGAGATCCAAAGCAGAAGGTGTGCTTCCACAAAGGCAGCCAGATTTTTGCATGAATTAGATAAAATCTAGTTCAAGGACCCATCTTACTTTTGATATAGGATGTCATCATGTCTTAATATAAGACAAAAATTAACTCCTGTGAACAAAGGCATTCCGCAGGCTTTTAACTACTGTCAGACAATATTGAGCTAGGTGGACCTTTGGCCTCACAGAGTGGATGCTCTCATGTTCTGTAGCTGTAAAGCAGTTACAGTAGTAAATAAGAAATATGTTATTTTATTAAAAACAGAGATTGGTATGTAACATTATTTTTCAGTACTCTGTTCTTCAGAGAAATGTGTGTTACTTATGCAGTTGAATTACTTGAAGGCATTCTCTTAATCTTCAGAATATAATATTAAAATACAAATATTGATGCTTCATAGCCTTTTAGATTTGCCAGTACTAGATTAATTATGGCTGGGTAAGTATGACAAAATGGTGATTAATATCAGAATTTCAAATTGTATCTAAGAATGAACAGTTTTTGAGAATTTAAAAACAATGTAAAGTCACCTTGACCATCTCCCTGAGCCTTAAGTTCTCCCTTTAAAAACTACTTTTCAGCTTCCTTGTGTCCCTGTCCAGGGAGATAGCAGATTCATAAACTGCAGTAATTGAAGCCAGTGCAATTTCTTGAGTATGACTAATCATTACCATTTCTTACCGAAAATTCACTAACTCCCAGCCAAGATTTTATTAATTTTAATATGAAAACATCCACACCTATCATTTCTCCCCTGAGGTCTTCCTAGGCTGCTGCAGAAATGGAGTCTGACTTCTATTGCTTGGCTAGAGTTGAGGATGTGAATTCCTCTGGCTGATTGCTTTCTGGATAACCTACAAAATACCAGGGGTCAGATTCTTGGCCTGGTAACATTGCTTTGCACTGCTCTGGCTCGATGCCATGACTCCCATCACAGGGAATCCCAGGAGAAGAGAGGTACGAGGTTGGGGTATTCCTGACTTCAGACACCCACATTTTCTCAGCTGCTGCTGTGCATGGCAATAAAAGGGAGTGGTCTTAAAGCTGCTCAGATTTAAATGGAGGGTTAAAATGGCCCCAATAGGATGCTTCTGCCCAGCTAAAACTTTATTTTCAGTTGATTGACCTCAAGTATGAAGCATCTGGTGACTTAAGCAAAGTTATGTGATGGATGCATTTTCTAAAATGTTGATCAAGCATTTGCTCCCCTGGGAAACAGTTTTTAAGTTCTTGCTAGTTTTGTGCAGATTGACAAACACACTTCAGCAGTGCAGACGAACTTCACCAGAGTCAAAGAAAGCTCAGACATGCACACACATGCTATTTGTGTCTGTGCTCCTGCACACACAATGAACACTTTAGGCTGCCCTTTCTGTCTGTGCCAATTAGGGAATACCAGAAACCTAGCCACTGTAAACTTTGCCTATTAACAAAGATGAAGTACCACCATCTTGGGTATATCCCTCCAAAAAACATGTCAATCTGTAACTGTAAGGTTGATTTTGTACCATGTCTGTGGCAAGTGACAATACGAAATTGTTCAGATGCATCCAGGAAATTGAGGAAAAGGAAGATCAGATCTCCAGGTCGCCATTGACCTGCCTCTCATCCTGCTTGTGTGATGCTACCACATAAACTCTATGGAGTAACATGGTATTTGCCTGAAGGTACAAGCAAATATCTCTGAAATGTGTATCCTGCCCCCTCAGTGCACCAGGCTAATCCTGAAACTAGTTGTTTTGACAATCATCACCTGATCGTGCTACATGGAGGACTTTTCCCCTATCATATTAGGGGGGCATGTGTGGAGTTCTCGATCTGTGTAACCAGAAGGTAAATCTTTCTTATTCCACAATAGAGCCCCATTCCCTGTACACGCAGAATTTGGTGGAGAAGGGGATGCTGTCCCCAAAAAAGGTAGTACTACCTGTCATCTGGTTATGTGGCTGTTTCTTTTCACTAGTGCCGTGGAAAAGAGCAGGTTTGTGGCAAGGTAGAGGCAAAGTGTTAATGAGTAGCTAAGGCATTCGCAGAGCAGGGAACGTTCCCCCAGGGAACCCAGGGCTTTACCCCCATTCACTGGGTCCAGGAGGTTCTGCATCCAGCGTAGGCTCCAAGCTGCGGATTGAGGTGGGAATACCCTCACAAACTTTGCCTTCAAAAGCAAAGCTTCTTTCTTATTTCTAAATCAATAATACTCTCCCCCACCAATAAAAAAAAGAATTGCCAGTTGTTAGTCAACAGCCAGAAAAACCAAACACCAAACCTGAAGCATTTTCCACTCTTAGAGGAAACACATCGGGTGCCTGGTCTGGGATTTGTGAAGGAAAGAGCAGTGTGATTGTACACAGGTGTGCCTGGCTCTCTCAAGCAGCCAGGCCGGTGGTCCCATCGTGAGGAGGAACACCCGGCTGCACTTGTGTGACCCCTCCGGTCAGCCCAGGCTCGGGCTGATGTGCTCTAGGTGGAGCCACATCTGTCCTTGTGCTCCGGAACGGAGGTCATCAGCCTGCCAAGCTTTCCAGGAAAGAGGGAGTGGCTGGAGAGTCTTGAGTTACTGAGCGTGGACCACCTGGAAAATAGTGTGCAGCGAGCACTTGTCCTACCTCTAGACACTCCACAGTAAGGAGTAAGGGATGCTGAATTGGCTTTGAACTCCCACCCAAACTCGCTTTGAAGAAATGGAAGGGCAGGCAAGTAACATGCATGTTCTCTTATGGAAAAATAACAATAGCATTTCTGCATTTTAGTCTGTAATAGAGGTTGGTTCAGGTTACAATATTTGGATCTAGTTTTGAAACACATAGGTGTTTGAGTCTATTTGGTTTGCAAAGCTCGGACCTTGACCCAGGTTCTGACCGAGAGTGCCCTGCAATTTTGATGTGTTTCTAGTTCTGATAGAGAAAAAGGGAAGAAAATAGATTTTTCTCTGCATTAGAGAGAAAACATACTAATAATGCTGCCACTATCTGATGATTGGGGAAAAAGTCCTAGTCTCTTGAAAGGCAAAGTTGGGAAATAGTTATCTTTTATTTCAAGAAATCAGGGTCGTAAAAATTATAGCTATAAAACACACAGCAGGCTGAACCCTCTACATAAAACCTCTTGCATTTTATGCCTCCCTTTCTATGCCAGGTCTTCATTTGTCTAATTACTACTCAGAGGCTGGCAGAGATTCTCCCTGCAGCGCTCAGCTCTGCTGACTGCAGAGACCCTACCTGGCACACTAAGTTAGTGCGTCAGCATTCTAGGTAGAAATGAATGAAAAATCAATCAGGGCAACTGCAGTGGTAGCATATACAACTCTAACCTACTTTGTGCATGGTTTTGAACATTTCATTGTGTATTTAGGCATCTTTTAAAATGGTAAGTGGATCTGAAATAAAATAGATCTTTCTAGTCAGCCTAAGAAATGTTTTGTCATCTTTACTGCTTAGCTCAAGCAAACTTACCACCCTGACTGCTAAGTTAACTTGCAGTCTTGACTGAAACGCCAAAACCTATGAGAAGATTGTTTTAATCTTGAAAATCTATCACCAGCAGATTGCATCATGCAGTAGATATAGATATAGTGATAGCTTTGATTGTTTTAACTGTATTTACAGACCAGATCTAGAGTAGGACTGGAAAAGCAAAAGTACACTAGAACCTTTTTTGAAACACAGGTATTGCTTACATATGGTCTTGCAAGGAGTTTGGTTTATGTGTGCTTTTATTTTTTCATGTTGTATTTCTGCATAGGTAGAGTTAAGCATGGATTGCCAGTTTCATTTAATGGAAGTCCATGATAAAAAGGTCCAGTCTTCATGCCTAAAAAATTAGTAGCTGTTGTAACTTTTTCGGCTGAGTGGGTTAAATATGTTATAGATCCCTCATAAGATCATTGCTGTAACAAGTTGTGCAGTGCAATACTGTAAAGGTTTCAAAAAATTCACAAGCCTCGTTGTATGTGATGCCCTTACAGTGAAGAAGATTCTTTTGACTTTAAAGATGAAGAGTCTACTTTTTCTGGTGCTGATTTCTGTCTGCTGGGCTGAACCTCACCCTGACAACTCAAGTCTGGAGAATGAAAGAATTATTCACATTCAAGGTAAGGAAATACATGAGAAAATTCCAGTATCTTCAGACTGCTGAGGCAAACAGAATAATGTGCTTAATGAGCCTTGATTTTTTATTCTGCTGCACTGTTTTTTAAATACTATTACTACTGGTGACCAAACCTTTTCTTTTCTGGTTCTGTTGCATTATTATTACTCCTAAGGAAAGTAAAAAAATGAAAGTTGCAGTTTAATGGCACTTAGTCTCAACCTTGCAAAGGTTAGTGAGTAAAGTACAGCATGATTTAAGATAACAAAAAAAAGCATGCAACCTAAAGGAATAAGCATTGCAATGGATTGAAATACCTTTAGTTTATTGTGGAATATATTTGATTTTAAGACGACTGTCATACATAGTTCTTTACATTACAGAAATTTATTGTTGTTTATTATTTTAAAAGACTCAGCACATCTGAGATCATAATTGGGCAATTTAAACCAGGGGGGGAAAAAAGAAGTAGCTTACCCTGAAAGAAATGTGTCTTTCCTCATACCTTTAATTCACACTAAGTATTAGACTGGCCTTCTGCATAATCCTGTTTGGTTCATGTTTGAATCCTAGAGCTTATAGCTGTAGCAGGATTTGAGTCTGCAGTATAATGCAGCTGTTTTTCAGTCCCAGCTTCAGTCGCTGAGGGTCATCCTGTATAAGAAAAAACAGGGGATTTATGCAGTAAGGACAGGCAGAACTAATAGGGTTTTTCCTGTTTTCATTTATATGTTTCTTGAGGCTGGGTAAAATTAATCCTGCAAAATTAAGAAATACAGCATTATTGTTCTCTCTCTCCCACTTTAAAGTTTGATTCCTTTCTCTCAACAGCTGGCAAATTGTTTTATTTGAGTGTTCGTGTAAATATGAATTACCAAGTTTGGGCAGGTTACTAATAAAGCCTGAATGTTTGGAAGTTCACAGGAAAGTCACAGAAGTTAAAGGTACCCTGCACCTATTAAAACAGGCACTCAGATTGTCAAGGTCAAATAAGGAATAATAGATAGCTGATTTCACTCTAAGGAAACTCACAGGATGAAGGTCAAATGAATATGTTATATCAACATGAAGACATATCACTGTTGTGAGATGATGAATATTCACTCCCCAGGGTAAATTTCTAATGACACCAATGTCTAATAAACAAATAGTTTGCCTTTCCTTGTATAATGCAGTTTCTTATCTCTGAACTTTACTTATCTTTTTGGAAGATTAAATTAGTAGAAATAATTAAACCAAAGCAAAATGATCTTTCCTTAATCTGTGTGTGTTAAACTTGCTTAGCCAGCAGTTTAGTGTAATTTGCAAGTCATACATGTTGCTTATTACTAGTCCTTCAGCATGTGTACAGTGCAGTCTGCAAGTGCTAAATAGTTCAAAGCTGATAAAAGTTTCAAGATGGACCATTCTCCCTACCCATGAAAACTAGCCTGAATCTCGAGAATTTGTTCCTTCAAGGAAAGCTGGACAAAGCTTAAAATTGAGCTCTACCATGAGTTTTGTACATCAGTTGATTCAGGCTCTGAAATACACAGACCACAAATCAAAAAGAATAAAACTGCTTGGAACTTGGTATGGTTACTATTAATTTTTTTCATTCCTCTCTGCATTGTGGCATCCCATCAGGGTTGGGATTCTGCTCTGTCCAATGCTGCATAAACACATACAATGATCTGCACCTGGAAATGAGCTGGAAATCAGGGAAGCCTGTGGAACACATGTGTTATAGCTTCATACAAAAGGTATTTTATACTACATTAAGCAGTGTAGCATCCCCCTCCACAGCTGAAATCCAAGAGATGTGTAGCTAAACTCCTTCTGGATTGCATGCTTTGGAATGCCTTGGAATTACAAAAGGTGAGGATGGGTGTTGTGTAGTCAAGTACACAGAGCTGAAAGGGATCTCCTGAGGCAATGAACTAAACTGTCTTCTATTCCCCTTTCTTTACATCACCTAATCTCCTGTAGGTTTATTTTCATTTTTAAAAAAGCTGGGTTTCAAATCTCATTACTGCAAGGTAGTTTTGGACCTTATTTCTCTGATATGAAAAACACTCTCCTAATTCTTCGTGTTTATTCACAGCCATTGTATGGCCTTATGCTTCTCCCAGTGTTGTTCCTTAGCTTCAGATAACAATTTTTCTTCTTTGATATTCACTTTAAAACATTAATAAGATAACACCATATCCTCACAGCTATCACTTGAGTAAACTTTTTCCAATTCTTCTCTAAGTGTATAATCTCCAATTACTTGATAATGTTAGTAGTTCATCTCTACAGTGGTTCTTGTTTGAATTCATACTTCTTAAGTAGGCCCAGGCAGGATTTTATTCCAGATAAGATCTTAGGCTGGCATTAGTATTTTTGTTTTCCATCTAACAATGCTTTGTTTTTAAGACCTTGGATCAAATTTGTACTCTTCCCAACCATGCTGCAGTGCTGATCAATGATCTATTGTGATAAACAATATTTAGCAGTCATTCTCCCTCATTATCAATTGCAATTAACAAATACAAGGTTTATATCAATAATTCTTCATACTAGGCCTTAAAAATCTAGATTATGCATTCAGTATTAAATGTTATGCTTTTTCCACCCTTCTTTCTTCAAACATTCTAAATATTCATTCTCCTCCTTTCAGTGATGCTTAATGTGCCATGTGAAAATTTTATTAATTCAATAGTCATATTCACTTTATAAGGTAAAATTAGTGGTAATATTAAAAGGTCTCAAAAATTATGCTAGACACAGTTCACTGGCCTTTTTCTAGGCTAATCATTTATGTTTCAGCCCAACCATCTGCAGTCTCCTCTGTGTCTAGTTCTTAGACACTTAGCAAAAGTTCTAACAAAACACCTGTTTTCTCCATCCTGTCTAATTTCATATATTTCCCATATCACTCGCTTCCCTGAGCTCCAAGCAATTGATACATCACATTTCGCTGGCCTTATACATTTATCTTTATTATATGGTTGATATCAAATTAGTTTGACACCCTTTGGTAAGTATCTACTGCATTTTATCCTTCTTTCTAGTGACTTACTCTATTTCTGTATTCAACAATTTTTCTTCAAAAATTGTTCTAAGGTCCTGTTTGGCGTTGAGGTCAGACTAATCAGGCTGTTAATGGTTAAATTACTTTCCTTACATATATTTGTTATTTTGCTGTTGCCCAGAAACACATGGTACCATTCTTATAGTGATAGATAAGTTAATAGCTCTGCCATCAGGTTTGCCATACCAAGTATCAGTAGTAACGTCAGTACTTCAGGCTGTGAGGTTTTCTACCCTTTTTCTTTGAACAGGCTATATTTTCTGAGTTCAGCTTTCATCTTTATGTTTTCATGTCATATCAATGCACTCATGTACTTTAAACAACATCATACTTTCAGAGCATCAAAACCAACATTATTAAAAAGAGAGGATTTGTTAATATAGCACTTGGATCATTTCTCTATTGTCTTCCACCTTTATCTGTGTAGTGATCCCATACTACAAAATGAACCTGTGACTGTCTAAGACTTTTTTCACTGCTACAGTAAGATCTTTTACAGTCCTTCCTGACATGCTTTTGATCCATGCTCCGTTTTGTCCTCATTTCTTATTTCTTCACAACCTGCTAAAGTACTAATGCACAATGCTGCCTCATCACCCGTATGTTTCATTTGGCCTTCCTAAAGAGCAGCCAGCTATTAATACTGTATTACAGTCTGACAGCTATTTTTCAAGCATGCTTCTGACTCCCTTAACAACTCTGTGTAAGGAACCAGAAGATCTAGTTACCCCACTTTGCCGCCCCTCCATTAGTATAAAAACTCCTGCCATCTCTCTCAGACTCAGCATTTGCTAACCAGAATGAACAGTATTTCATAAATTGTATTGTTCTCTGATTATACTGACAGGTCATTGCTTTTATAAACACAGAGGTCTGTCTTTCAAATGTCCGTCCTCTTGAAACTGTGGATTTTTTTACCTTTACTAAACACTTGCTAACTTCTTTAACATTGCAATAGGCATAGATATGTTCTCTGTTAAATCTTTCAATTTTTCTTAGAAATGAGTTGCTGGCTTCATGAATATCTCTGTTCCTGCTGTCAGTGTCAGCTCTAGTTCCTCGTTCTCCCCTTGTTGGTTAGTATAGTGAAACTGGACTTCAGTCAAATTTCTCATCTGCTAAGCAGTTTTACCTCCCTACCTTTACCAGTATTCCTTTCTGCTTCTTTTCTCTGGCCCACTTCTTTTGTTTATATCTTTTCTTCTTTGGTTTTATTCCAATACCTATGAACAAAATTTATAAAATATCTAAAGCTGCATTTTATCTTTTCTGTGACTTTATTTCCTTTCCTGAAGCCTGTGGTGAATTTCATGGTTTTGGTCAGGCTGCTCTATTATCCCAGACTGCTTGACCATATCACCTTCCTCTCTGGTAGTTTGTCTGCATACAAAAGTGATTTTAGTTTAATGTTGTGGATAAAAACAAATAAGAGAACTGTATTTAACTGTGTTATCCCCCTGACCACCCCCACCCCAGTAAACTGTGTGTGCCTCATGGGATACCAGTTTCACTCTTTAGAAAAAATCATAATCCTAAATGAAATCATGTGGTGAATATGAAAATGTGACAAAAGTATACCCTAGCCACATAAGCGTCCACAACACGAAAACAATACTACTCTAAGCATATCAATGTAAGTAAAGGTTCAGATTTTTCTCTGAAGTCAAGAACTGCAAAGGACTCTGTGACCCATGAGAGAGGAAGATGATTCTCTTCAGTGGTCAGCTTTGTATATCTTTCTAATCTATTTGTAGTGCTAGTTGCTGACCAATTATTCAAAGAGGCAGAGTACCCTTCGGAGATAAGAGCATTCTTCTGTGTGTCGTTGTGTATTTCCTGTTCTGCAAAATGAACGAAGTTGACTAAGCCGTTACAGTAATTGCTAAGTTTATTACTTAAGGGTGGTAGGAGCCTTCAACATATGCCTCCAGTTTGTTCAGATTTTAGAA